TATTACATATTTCACATACAGTATTATTATACATTTTCTTAAAAATCGCAAACAATTACATTACACTGTACAAAAGCAAAAATGCTTCTGATACATAGCTCTGATATGTAACGATGCAGACAGAAGCGTGTACAGCATGAGCCAATCAGTGGCAGTAATGACAGAGCATGTGCTGTTACGCAAAAACTGCGATAGAGTGAAGCCGCGGAAGTCGAAGCGCGAAGTGGTGAGGGTTCACTGCATTCTTAATTTGGGGGAAGCAGATGGACATGCAATAATGAGTTCGCCACTTGATGTGTGCCCACTGCTGTTTTGTGGCATTTGTAGATTTAACTTTTTAAAATCCATCAACCCACGCTAGGAGTGAGGCACTCTGACCACGCCCAGTGGCAGACCTTCGCTGTCTGGATCTGGAATGTGTGCTGCTCAGAGCTACGCGCTCTACAGACAGGGAATGCTGCTGTTAGCTGCTAGGTGGTGGTGGAAGCCGGTGTTGCCCTTGGCCCCTGACTCACGATTGATGATCGGCTGCGTTACCAGTTGGATGACGCCCTAGGGGTTCTTGGCTGTAGGTTTTTTTGTTTTTTCACAGAAACAATATGCCTGTGCCACCCGGGCTCTTTCTAAGCGATATTGTTCATTGCTGTTAACTCAGTTCCAGCTGGTGCCAACTTTACCCCACGTGGCAGCATTGGTAAAGTCAGAGGGTAGCTGAAAACGCGGAAGCCTCTCCGTGAGATGGATTGATGCCGTGACGGTAACAGTGAAGCCAAGCATAACCATTGTGAGGGTGCCCCAAGACCGGCGGTCTTTCATTCTGTTGTACGTAGGGTAGCTGTGAGAAGGACAAAAACAACATACACCAGAGGTGTCCGGGAAGGGGCGGAACGTGACAAGTACAATGAACCCTCGTTGATCGCGGTTCATCGGTTCTAGACCCTACCGTGATAAATGAAATTCCGCGAAGTAGGATTCCTTATTTGTAAATCAAATATTTTCGTAGTTAGAGCATAGAGGACATGAAAAAACACCCTTTAGTCACCATGACACTCGTATTACGCAATTTATTAAACGACAAAGGGAAAATACAGTAAAACATTTTGGACGTTACAATGATCATTTATTATTTATTATATTATTTATGGCATCTAGTTACAGTATTACATATTTCACATACAGTATTATTATACATTTTCTTAAAAATCGCAAACAATTACAGTACACTGTACAAAAGCAAAAATGCATCTGATACGTAGCTCCGATATGTAGCGATGCAGACAGAAGCGTGTACAGTATGAGCCAATCAGTGGCAGTAATGACAGAGCATGCGCTGTTACGCAAAAACCGCGATAGAGTGAAGCCACGGAAGTGGCGAGGGTTCACTGTATTGTTTCCTGGGAAGGCGACTGTCATCAGAATGGAAGGTAGAGCAGCATACAGAGTAACTAGTCTCAGGGAGCCCACTGTGAAGGCTGTTGCCAGATTCTAAGGCATCGTTTTGTTTAACTTTTAATGTTGTGACCCTCTTAGATTGCTCGGCGGTGTAAGAAAGAATACAGAGAACTGTGTGCTCTTCACCCAGCTCCCCCCGGGTGGTAGCACCTTGTAAAGCTGTAGTGTAGCATCACATCGATGTGATAGTCAAGATACAGAACGTTTCCATCAACACAGAATCTCGCCTGTTCCGCTTTACACGCTCCCCCGTGGCCCTCTCACGCCCACCCACTTCTTAATTGGCGACAAGCTCTGATCTATTCTGCATCTCCATACTTCTCCATTTCAACATGTTTACAGGAAGTGGAATCATACAGTATGGTATCGTGTGGGAATGGACAAACCCACCCTCCCCTCTCCACCATCAGCATAATTCTTAGGAGATTCATCCCGGTGGTTGCATGTAACAATAATCAATCCCTTGAATCCCGAGGAGTGTGTCACGGTGTGAATGCACCACAGTTTGTTTACCCAGATGCCTGTTGATTATGTCCAGTTTGGAGCTATTCGGAATAAAGCTGCTAACATTATTCATGGTCAGGTTTTTCTGTGAACATAGATTTGTATTTTCCCAGAATTTCCCTAGGAGTCCAGTTGCTTAGCTGTGTGATTTCTGGAAGGAACTTTGGTCATGCCTTGGTAAAACATGCAAATGTTAATTAGAAGGTCAGTGGTGGTAACCCAGCAGCCATTCCAGGGGAGAAAAGATCTGGTGGTCTGTTATTGTGAAAATTACAACCGTGGAAACCCGATGAGAGAGCTCTACTACGAGATTGCTAGGAAACAGAATTAACTAGATGGCAATGGGATAGTTAGATGAATGTCCAGATTTTCAAAGAAACTATCACACTGTTTTCCAGAGTGACTGGAGGCCATTTTATATGGTGCAGTGGTTAAAGCATTCTACTACTATCCTAAAGTGGGCCATTTGAACTCAGCAGGTCACTCCGTGGGAGAAAGATGTGGCAGCCTGCTTCCATAAAGAGAAAGCCATGGGCACCCTATGGGTGGGTTCTACCAGTGGTATCACTAGGTGGTGGGTGTGGTACAGACCCACACCATGTGACACCCCAACGACCGTCTACAAAATGTTTGTGCATTGTTTAAGGAGAAATTTATTATTTTTAATAAAAATATTCCTACAGTTAGTAAAACTGGAAGGAAAAAAAAACGAACCCAAACACCTTATTGTCATCAAGTGAATTCTGACCCATAGTGACCTTGAAAGGCCAGGCAGACCTGCCCAGGGGAGTTTCTGAGACTCATTTTTTAGTAAGAAAGCCCACCCTTGCCCTCTCTGAGTGAGCGGAGATTTCAAACCCCAAACCTCGTGGTTAACAGCCCACCACATAAGCACTACATCACTAAGGCTCCTTCATAGTTATAACAAGAAAAGAAATTAATAAGCCCAGATCGCATCTATCAATATACCTACAAGGCTAAAATTATGCTAATGTACTTTGTGACCTTTGTAATGTACTCTGGGCCAAGCTGCCATCATGAAGGATGATGACACAAGGGTGTCTTTGCACACCCTTCCAGTAGATGCTGTTTTTGTTGCTGCTTGTGTTTCTATTTTTATCATGTTTGTGTTTGAAACCAATTTGTATGTCGCAAAAGAATCCAAGACCGTTTAGTTTTACTTCTCCTTTTACAGCCGCTCAGACCAGGGTTTAGATCGGATGGGTCAGGAATCTGGAGGGTTTTAAAGGCTGAGATCTCTCTCTTATTTGTAATGTTATTTATTTGCATGTATGTACTTAGACATCTAGTTTCTTTTCCCTCTTGTGCTTGTGGGATGTAATATAAACAAAGAACAAGAGACTCTGTATAGTTGCACAGCCCGGCTCAGCAAAGCGGTGACACAGCTCCGGGACATGTGGTCCTTTCCCCCCAGCCCTCCCTCCCTCCTGACTTTCCTGTGCCTTCTTTCTCCCTCTTCCCCCAACCCTGGCCTCATAGTCGTCTTTGTCTTATCCCAGAATAATAGTGTCAT